GTAGGTAGCTGTGTAGGTAGCACAGTAGGTAGCACGGTAGGTAGCACGGTAGGTAGCTGGGTAGGTAACACGGTAGGTAGCACGGTAGGTAGCTGGGTAGGTAGCTGGGTAGATAGCACGGTAGGTAGCACGGTAGGTAGCTGGGTAGGTAGCTGGGTAGGTAGCACGGTAGGTAGCACGGTAGGTAGCACGGTAGGTAGTACGGTAGGTAGCACGGTAGGTAGCTGGGTAGGTAGCTGGGTAGGTATCTGGGTAGATAGCAGGGTAGGTAGCAGGGTAGGTAGCTGGGTAGGTAGCACGGTAGGTAGCACGGTAGGTAGCAAGGTAGATAGCAGGGTAGGTAGCTGGGTGGGTAGCACGGTAGGTAGCACGGTAGGTAGCAAGGTAGATAGCTGGGTAGGTAGCTGGGTAGGTAGCTGGGTGGGTAGCACGGTAGGTAGCAGGTTAGGTAGCACGGTAGGTAGCAATGTAAGTAGCACGGTAAGTGGCAGGGTGGGTAGCACGGTAGGTAGCTGGGTAGGTAGCACGGTAGGTAGCTGGATAGGTAGCTGGGTAGGTAGCACTGTAGGTAGCACGGTAGGTAGCACGGTAGGTAGCATGGTAGGTAGTACGGTAGGTAGCACGGTAGGTAGCACGGTAGGTAGCTTGGTAGGTAGCTGGTTAGGTAGCACGGTAGGTAGCCCGGTAGGTAGCACGGTAGGTAGCTGGGTAGGTAGCTGGGTAGGTAGCTGGGTAGGTAGCACGGTAGGTAGCATGGTAGGTAGCACAGTAAGTAGCACCTTTATCGTGTTATCTCGTGAACTAGGCTGGTGCATTATGTGTAAGGTAAAAATCCGATTGAAACAGATGAACACTGGGTTAACAAACCAAAGGTAAACAGCCTTTTATAAACAATAGGCGAAAAATCAACTTTTTCAGTAAAAATAAACGGTTACAGTTAAAATTATCTTACAGTAAAATTTAACTTCACAGTAAAAATCAACTTTTACAGTAAAAATAAACGGTTACAGTAAATATTATCATTACAGTGAAAATCTACTTTTCCAGAAAAAAAATCTACTTTTACAGAAAAAAATCTACTTTTACAGTAAAAAAATTAACTTTACAGTAAAATTCTACTTTTACAGTAAAAAAAAACTTCACGGTAAAATTCTAAATACATACACTCACCAGCAGCCTCCCTCGTCTGATTAGTAAAGCCTGACTCCAATTCTGAGACCTTGACTCTACCACAGCTGACTCTCTGAGGCCTTGACTCTACCACAGCTGACTCTCTGAGACCTTGACCTTGACTCCCATAGCTAACTGATCTGACTGAAGTAGAGTTCGATGTCAACATTAAAACCAGCGACCTCGACACACTTTGTTTACACAGTACCTGACCATTAGGGCTGGTCACTCTACTGCGTTGGTGTGTGACGGTGTGTGTTGGTGTGTGTTGGTGTGTGTTGGTGTGTGTTGGTGTGTGTTGGTGTGTTGGTGTGTGACCCTTCTCTGGTGGCTCTAACATTAACAGAAAGTGTGTGAAGGTCAGGGATGGATGACCTCTAAAGACCAGCAGGATTTCCATACACCATGGGGGGGGGGGGGGGTAATATGCTTTAGCCCAGTCTGTTTGGGAATCACTGAAAAAATAATTACCAGAATACTTTTAAAAAATATCTCTACTCCTGTAAGCAGCAGCCCAAGGCTACACTTACAGGTGAGCTACATTCACCCGCCACTTCAGTCTTCACCCTAGCCCGACCCATCCCGGCCCACCCCTGCCCACCCCGGCTCACCCCGGCCCAGCCCGGCCCAACCCAAAGGCTAGGGTCAGGACTGTGGCTAGTGTATTGTTAGTTTGGGTTATGGCTAATGTTATGATGTGAGTTAGGGTTAGGCTGAGGTTTTGGTTGTGCTCTAGAATTAGAGTTTGGGCTAGGATTATCGGTAGGGTTAGGATTATCGTTAGGGTTGTGTGTGTGTGTGGGGGGGGGGGTGCATTTAATGTCAGTATGCTGGTCCATTCCCGTGTTGGGGGGGGGGGGTGCATTTAATGCCAGAATGCTGGTCCATTCCCGTGTTGGGGGGGTGCATTTAATGCCAGTATGCTCGTCCCTTCTCGTGTTGGGGGGGGGGGGGGGTGCATTTAATGCCAGAATGCTGGTCCCTTCTCGTGTTGGGGGGGGGGGGTGCATTTAATGTCAGTATGCTGGTCCATTCCCGTGTTGGGGGGGGGTGCATTTAATGTCAGTATGCTGGTCCATTCTCGTGTTGGGGGGGGGTGCATTTAATTTCAGTATGCTGGTCCATTCTCGTTTTTGGGGGGGGGGGGGTGCATTAAATGCCAGTATGCTAGTCCATTCTCGTGTTGGGGGGGGGGAGGGTGCATTTAATGCCAGTATGCTGGTCCATTCTCGTTTTTTGGGGGGGGGGGGGTGCATTAAATGCCAGTATGGTCCATTCTCGTGTTGCGGCCATCTTACAGACGGGAGTAAATAGGTCAGTTGAAAGACGGTCACAGACCGTAATGACGGGGTGGGGAATGACCGTAGGGAGAATGTCTGACCCGTGCCACCCCAACCCCAGGGTCCCAGAGAAGTATCTTGTGGGTGAGGGTTTAGGGAATACCCCCCCCCCCCCACAAACATACAAACACATTAATAGGTAAACCATTTAGTGTCAGTAAACATCAACCATAACACGGGAGGGGGAGGCGGAGTGGTGAGGGGGGGGGGGGGGGGCAGGGGACGTGGTCTAGCGATAGAGTGAGTGAGTGCTTGCTGTAACGCATCAAGTTCAAATCGAGACCAGTCATACTTTGCCCTTTCCTCGTGTGGTTGGTGTGGTGTACCTCGTGTGGGTGGTGTGGTGTACCTCGTGTGGCTGGTGTAGCTCGTGTGGGTGGTGTGGTGTACTTCGTGTGGTTGGTGTGGTGTACCTCGTGTGGGTGGTGTGGTGTACCTTATGTGGTTGGTGTGGTGTACCTCGTGTGGCTGGTGTACCTCGTGTGGCTGGTGTACCTCGTGTGGCTGGTGTACCTCGTGTGGGTGGTGTGGTGTACCTCGTGTGGGTGGTGTGGTGTACCTCGTGTGGCTGATGTGGTGTACAGCGTGTGGGTGGTGTTGTGTACCGCATGTGGTTGGTGTTGTGTACCTCGTGTGGGTGGTGTGGTGTACCTCGTGTGGGTGGTGTGGTGTACCTCGTGTGGGTGGTGTGGTGTACCTTGTGTGGGTGGTGTGGTGTACCTCGTGTGGGTGGTGTGGTGTACCTCATGTGGGTGGTGTGGTGTACCTCGTGTGGGTGGTGTGGTATACTCTAACCGTTAGTCTAGCCCCGAAGTTTTTAAAAGTTGATCAGATCGATGACATTATTCTGATTGATTCACCTCACGCAGAGTTGGTTCCTTACTCGTGTATCTGTAGCTGGTAGCCACACGTGTATGTAGCTGGTAGCCACACGTTATCTGTAGATGGTAGCCACACGTGTATGTAGCTGGTAGCCTCACGTTATCTGTAGCTGGTAGCCTTACGTTATCTGTAGCTTGTAGCCACACGTGTATGTAGCTGGTCGCCACACGTTATCTGTAGATGGTAGCCACACGTGTATGTAGCTGGTAGCCACACTTTATCTGTCGATGGTAGCCTCACGTTATCTGTAGCTGGTAGCCTCACGTTATCTGTAGCTTGTAGCCACACGTGTATGTAGCTGGTAGCCACACGTTATCTGTAGCTGGTAGCCACACGTTATCTGTAGCTGGTAGCCACACGTGTATGTAGCTGGTACCACACGTTATCTGTAGCTGGTAGCCACACGTTATCTGTAGATGGTAGCCACACGTTATCTGTAGCTGGTAGCCACACGTGTATGTAGCTGGTAGCCTCACATTATCTGTAGCTGGTAGCCACACGTTATCTGTAGCTGGTAGCCACACGTGTATGTAGCTGGTAGCCTCACGTTATCTGTAGCTGGTAGCCACACGTGTATGTAGCTGGTAGCCACACGTTATCTGTAGCTGGTAGCCACACGTGTATGTAGCTGGTAGCCTCACATTATATGTAGCTGGTAGCCTCACGTTATCTGTAGCTGGTAGCCACACGTGTATGTAGCTGGTAGCCACACGTGTATGTAGCTGGTAGCCACACGTTATCTGTAGCTGGTAGCCTCACGTTATCTGTAGCTGGTAGCCTCACGTTATCTGTAGTTGGTAGCTACACGTGTATGTAGCTGGTAGCCACACGTGTATGTAGCTGGTAGCCACACGTGTATGTAGCTGGTAGCCACACGTGTATGTAGCTGGTAGCCACACGTGTATGTAGCTGGTAGCCACACGTGTATGTAGCTGGTAGCCACACGTGTATGTAGCTGGTAGCCACACGTGTATGTAGCTTGTAGCCACACGTTATCTGTAGATGGTAGCCTCACGTTATCTGTAGCTGGTAGCCACACGTGTATGTAGCTGGTAGCCACAGGTAGCTTGACGAGTCACCACTACAAGAAAACATCCGGTGCCTTTGACGATGGGGATCTAACACGCAGAATGACAGAGAGACAATGCCAGATTTCTGACGTGGGGGTCTTGTATCGGCTATTGATCAGCTGTTTCCAATCAAACGACACATCGATTTCACCTCTCATCTCCCCCCCCCCCCCTGTGTCTCTTATCACCTCCCCACATCATTCACATGGCTACACACTTCTCCTCCATCCCACCACCTCCCACCACCTCCCACCATCCCCCACCACCTCCCACCATCCCCCACCACCTCCCACCACCTCCCACCATCCCCCACCACCTCCCACCATCCCCCACCACCTCCCACCATTCCCCACCATCTCCCACCACCCCCCCACCACCTCCCACCATTCCCCACCACCTCCCACCATTCCCCACCACCTCACACCATTCCCCACCACCTCCCACCATTCCCCACCACCTCCCACCATTCCCCACCACCTCCCACCATTCCCCACCACCTCCCATGACCACACATCACCTCCCACCCTCCCCTCCCCAGATGGCCAAGAGAACGCTGCTACGAGAAGACTTCCGTGGCTCAGACCGGACATTGGTCAGCAGCTCGCTGGACAGCAACACCAGCAGCCGCAGCAACGTCCACACCTTCGCCTCCTCCTCCTACTGCAGCAACACCGACATCCGGTGCGACGACCGGACGGACGATGAAGACGACGAGGACAAGCCCGAGGAGCTGGAGACAGACAAGGGCCGCTGGGAGAGGACGCTTCATTACGTCATCGTCGGCTTCGGTCTCGTCTTCGGCATCAGAAACATCCTCAAGTTTCCATCTCTAGCAGTGGAGCACGGTGGAGGTTAGTGGAAGGGTAGTGGCAGGGGTAGAGACAGGGTAGTGGCAGGGGTAGTGGCAGGGGTAGTGGTAGGGGTAGTGGTAGGGGTAGTGGCAGGGGTAGTGGTAGGGGTAGTGGCAGGGTAGTGGTATGCTGTTTGATGTTTGTTGTTGTATTTCTTATGTAACAAAAACATGTAATGATCAAGTTTAATATCACATTTTTTGCCACAGGGGCTTTTGTGTTTACATACATTTTCTTGACCTTCACCTGCGGTGTCCCCATTGTATACCTCGAGGTCAGCCTGGGGCAGTACGCCCGTGGAGGGGTCATTAAGGCATGGAGAATCATCCCCCTTACTAAAGGTAGCTGCCTTCACCCTAAGGTCATAAAGCCTGTCCTTAAGTTCTTATGTCCTATCGCCCTAAAGACTGTGCTTAAGTTCTTATGTCCTCTAGTCCTAAAGCCTGTCCTTAAGTTCTTATGTCCTCTAGTCCTAAAGCCTGTCCTTAAGTACTTATGTCCTGTAGTCCTAAAGCCTGTCCTGGTCCTAACCCTTGTCTGCAGGTATCGCCGTGTCTAGCCTGGCCTTGACCTTGGCCCGTCTGACCTACTCCAGCACCCCAGCGGCCTGGGCTGTCTACTACCTGTTCGCGGCCCTGTCCGGCAAACTGCCCTTCCGTCACCTTGACCTCAAAGGTCAGCACAAAGGTCAGTTGCTGTTCACATTCACGCTGCTGTTCTGTCTGTTAATGAGCTGTTGCTAATCAAAGTTTTTATCTCTCCAGATATGACGTCACTGGCCAACCTGACCACGAACGAAACCCGTCTGGACGAGGTGTTGATGCACCAGGCAGCCTTCAACAAATTTAATCAAACATTCTAGTCAGTTCCTTTTTACAAGCTATTATTAAGTTCGCAGCGTCTGTTTGTTTGTTTGTAGTGTGTGGGTTTGTGGCAAATCTTGTAACTCAATTTCGTCCCACTTCTAAAGCAGCTATTTCATTCAAATTATCCAAATACGTTCTACTTCAATGACAATACAAGTCTATCTATTTTTAAATGTAATTATATATTTAATTAGTCATTAAAAATTAAGTAAACGGTTTAAAATTAAAGAACTCAATAGATTTCTAAATTCAATAACAGAAGGGGAGATAAATAGCTAGACGCTATCACACCAACAGTCTGGTGAGCTGTTGTTCATGTCAAATACCTGTACAGGTAGTTGGTTGGTACAGGTACTTGGTTGGTACAGGTAGTTGGTAGGTACAGGTAGTTGGTAGGTACAGGTAGTTGGTTGGTACAGGTAGTTGGTTGGTACAGGTAGTTGGTTGGTACAGGTAGACTGTAGGTACAGGTAGTTGGTAGGTACAGGTAGTTGGTTGGTACAGGTAGTTGGTAGGTACAGGTAGTTGGTAGGTACAGGTAGTTGGTAGGTACAGGTAGTTGGTAGGTACAGGTAGTTGGTAGGTACATGTAGTTGGTAGGTACAGGTAGTTGGTAGGTACAGGTAGCTGGTAGGTACAGGTAGTTGGTAGGTACAGGTACAGGTAGTTGGTTGGTACAGGGAGTTGGTTGGTACAGGTAGTTGGTAGGTACAGGTAGTTGGTTGGTACAGGTAGTTGGTTGGTACAGGTAGTTGGTAGGTACAGGTAGTTGGTAGGTACAGGTAGTTGGTAGGTACAGGTAGTTGGTAGGTACAGGTAGTTGGTAGATTCAGTTAGTTGGTTGGTACAGGTAGTTGGTAGATACAGGTAGTTGGTAGGTACAGGTAGTTGGTTGGTACAGGTAGTTGGTTGGTACAGGTAGTTGGTTGGTACAGGTAGTTGGTTGGTAAAGGTAGTTGGTAGGTAATGGTACAGGTAGTTGGTAGGTACAGGTAGTTGGTAGGTACAGGTACAGGTAGTTGGTAGGTACAGGTAGTTGGTTGTACAGGTAGTTGGTTGGTACAGGTAGTTGGTAGGTACAGGTAGTTGGTAGGTACAGGTAGTTTGTTGGTACAGGTAGTTGGTAGGTACAGGTAGTTGGTAGGTACAGGTACAGGTAGTTGGTAAGTACAGGTACAGGTAGTTGGTAGGTACAGGTAGTTGGTTGGTACAGGTAGTTGGTAGGTACAGGTAGTTGGTAGGTACAGGTAGTTGGTAGGTACAGGTAGTTGACAGGTACAGGTAGTTGGTAGGTACAGGTAGTTGGTAGGTACAGGTAGTTGGTTGGTACAGGTAGTTGGTAGGTACAGGTAGTTGGTTGGTACAGGTAGTTGGTTGGTACAGGTAGTTGGTTGGTACAGGTAGTTGGTAGGTACAGGTAGTTGACAGGTACAGGTAGTTGGTAGGTACAGGTAGTTGGTTGGTACAGGTAGTTTGTAGGTACAGGTAGTTGGTTGGTACAGGTAGTTGGTAGGTACAGGTAGTTGGTTGGTACAGGTAGTTGGTTGGTACAGGTATTTGGTAGGTACAGGTAGTTGACAGGTACAGGTAGTTGGTTGGTACAGGTACAGGTAGTTGGTACAGGTAGTTGGTAGGTACAGGTAGTTGGTAGGTACAGGTAGTTGGTTGGTACAGGTAGTTGGTAGGTACAGGTAGTTGGTAGGTACAGGTACAGGTAGTTGGTTGGTACAGGTAGTTGGTTGGTACAGGTAGTTGGTTGGTACAGGTACAGGTAGTTGGTTGGTACAGGTAGTTGGTTGGTACAGGTAGTTGGTTGGTACAGGTAGACTGTAGGTACAGGTATTGTAAAAAAAATCTTATTGTGCCGTTAAATGAACGTGTTGAGAGATTTTCACCTGGATAATTAGTGACCTTGACATTTAGTGACCTTGACCTTCACATCTTCACACGCTTTTTGTGGTTTGAACTTGGTTGGACGTCTTATAGTGACGTCACTGCTAAGGATGTGGGTTCTGACCTTTGTGACGAGGGGGGGGGGGGTTGGAAAAAGTTTATGGATGGCTCATGTGGCTCATGTGGCTCATGTGGCTCATGTGGCTCATGTGGCTCATGTGGCTCATTGATGAGAGTTTTTGGGGGTGTCAGTAGTGTAGCGGCCCTAAATATTTGAAGTTCTCAAGACGTCAAATCTCAAGACGTCAAATCTCAAGACGTCAAATCACAAGACGTCAAATCACAAGACGTCAAATCACAAGACGTCAAATCTCAAGACGTCAAATCACAAGACGTCAAATCTCAAGACGTCAAATCTCAAGACGTCAAATCACAAGACGTCAAATCACAAGACGTCAAATCTCAAGACGTCAAATCACAAGACGTCAAATCTCAAGACGTCAAATCACAAGACGTCAAATCACAAGACGTCAAATCACAAGACGTCGAATCTCAAGACGTCAAATCACAAGACGTCAAATCACAAGACGTCAAATTTCAAGACGTCAAATCTCAAGAAGTCAAATCACAAGACGTCAAATATCAAGACGTCAAATCACAAGACGTCAAATCACAAGACGTCAAATCACAAGACGTCAAATCTCAAGACGTCAAATCACAAGACGTCAAATCACAAGACGTCAAATTTCAAGACGTCAAATCTCAAGAAGTCAAATCACAAGACGTCAAATCTCAAGACGTCAAATCTCAAGACGTCAAATTTCATGACGTCACCTAGCGAGTGGATTGTGAAATGGCATCGTGGATTATACCTGTGGGTTGGTTTGTATTGATTGCTTGACTAGATAGGGCGGGTGGGGGTAGGTGGGAGTGAAAGTGACGTAGGCTGGGCGGTGTATCTAAATTTAGCCCCACCTCTGTGTAAAGGTGGCGATTGTTGAATATTGACTTGGTCTATATTCTCTGAAGGTCAAGTCAAGACATTCTTGTTAGATAAAGATTTTAAAACAAGATTTTCATCTGGTCTAACACTGTCCGGCCACTCTTGAAAGTTTCTTCCAGACATCTCGTCGTGGAGTCCACCGAACAAAGTCGTCGTCCCCCCCCCCCCCCCCCCCCCCCACGGAACGAAATGAAATTTATATAGAAAACATATACTTTTACCAGTGTCGGCTCCACCCCCCACCCGCGGAAAATGTTCATCCCCTGAAAATATTAAGTGCCGCCCCCCCCCCCCCCGTAGAAAAAATGTCCGGAAGAAACACTGCTGTCCGACCTGATTACCCGACTATCCGGTAGTTTTGTCCGGTAGTTTTGTCCGGTAGTTTTGTCCGGTAGTTTTGTCCGGTAAAGCTTTCTGGCCACATAACAAAAAACACTGCACCCTCCCCCAACCTCCCCCAACCTCCCATAACATGACGACATTACCAGCAATTTATTTCTTCTCAAGTCGCGCCATATTTCCGGTGGGGACAATCCTTCTTTATTCATGCCGGAACATTCCGGCATTCATACCGGAACATTCCGGCAAATTAGCATGTTACCTTTATATATCATTCAAGTGGTACTAGAGTATCGTGTGAGTGTCCTGTAGTCGATTACAGCATTTATCAACTAGAGTATCGTGTGAGTGTCGTGTAGTCGATTACCGCATTTATCAACCTACAATAACATCAACAAATATCTACACATACCCTTTTATAATTACTAGACCATACTGCATTAGTTTTATCGGTAGGCGATGGTATTCGATACCTAAAAAATAGTCGATTCCGCGGTTTCGACATGACGATTCTATTGGTGAGCTGTGGGCTCTCAACCAACGTGTGGTTCTCATGACGCTTTGATGACGCGGAAAAGAAATAAGCCGCTTGACTTTAAAGTCATCCAAAGTCAACATTTAAAGTAATTTTTTACCTTCCACATTAACCCATATTATCCCAAGGTCTCAAATTTTTATAATTTTTTGATATGGTTTAGCTTTTGGGCACTGAATGAAGGAATGACTATGGATTTTTTTTTTAAATCAATACTTTTTTAAATATCGATTTTTTAAAAAACGTCCCATAAATGGGACGCTAGCAACGAACGGCCCCATGTACATTTATTGAAAAATAAAATCATTTATCACGAAATATGGCTATTTACACGATAATTAAACTGTATACTGATTTTGTATTGTTAGACCAATGATTACATTGTTTAGGACAGTTAAAAATACTGATAATGATCAATTGGGTTAGCCATACCATGGTCTAAAATGCAGAAATTATGTTCAAAAGTCTAGTTTTCTTTCAATCTAGCATCCATCAAAGTGAATAACACTTGGAAATAAGTAAAGCTGTGACTAGTACATCTAATTAGACACACATGATCACCAATATTGTTATTATTCATCGAAACTGTAATATAATTAAATATAAATAATTGATTTTTTGGTGGGCATACTTGAAATTTTCAGGGGTGGGGACTTAAATTTCAGGGGAAGGGTGGACATTGGTAAAAGTATGTTTTGTATATAAATTCCATTTTGTTCTGGGGGCAGAGCCCCCCCCCCCCTCCCCCTCGAAATGATGCCTGAAAGAAACTCTGCCCTAAGTGAATTAGCAAAAGATGATCCGGTCCAGTCCCAGATGTCATCCAGCCATCTTCTCTTGTGTTACCCTCGCTATTCCCCCCCCCCCCCACCCCTCACAGGCGTACATTAGGACATCAGATATCTTATTTCTAGGGCACGGATCCGTCTCTGGGGGCTTGTATTGAGTGTTTATGGCTCTCATCCATGTATGCACCTCACTATGCGAACGGCTCCCAATCTAACACCAGGGATCTCCTTAAAAAGTTAGCAAAGTAAAACTGGTATTGGGAACCTTTGGAGGAGAATATTATTGGGGCATGACAACTGTACACAGCTAATTCACATTTCTGCTATATGTAGCTTAAGCTCTCTGATATGAAGAGAGTTAACCAACCCCCATGACTGAATCATTTCACCTAAATCATGGCCATTGTTATTATTCTGGTTTGTTATAATTTTAATATCACGCGCTAGTAAATTTACAGCAATACTAAATTAGTTTGTATTCAATGGTATTAAATACTTCAGTAAGTGTAATTCTGAAAACTTAAAAATAAAATGTAAGTTTTTCAATATTTGCAATTTTTTAATACAATAATATATAAGAAAATATAGCTCAAGGTTATAATTAAATATCTATAAATACTACTTAACACCCAAAGTCAACAGTTAACAAAGTCAACAATTGTTTCGCCATAAATAACCACTTAACATAAATATTTGCATCTGTGTTTCTCGCTAATGTCCAATAAATGTGACGTTTGTGTAACAATCTGCATAAATATAGGTCAAGGTCATAATTAAATATCTATAAATACTACTTAACACCCCAAAGTCAGCAGTTAACAAAGTCAACAATTGTTTCACCATAAATAACCATTTAACATAAACATTTGCATCTGTGTTTCTCGCTAGTGTCCAATAAATGTGACGTTTGTGTAACAATCTACATGGGGCCATTCGTTGCTAGCGTCCCACTTATGGGACGCTTGTTGTACACTTGATATAACGAAGTAGTAGAAAAAAAATTGTTATTCTTAAATTTTTATCAGATAGAAATATGGTACTGCTACAAGTTTCAAATGTATGTTGCACTTAAAATGTTAATATTTTAGAAGATATGCATTTTCCTGTGCGCATGTTTTCTTTTTTCCGCCATTTTGACAAGTCCTGCAAATCCGGCACTATAACATTTTTCCAAATTAATTTTTTTCAAAATACACACACACATTCAATAGTCTAGCTATTTTTAAATACAATGAAACATAATTTGTGTTTTAACTAGTTATTAATAAATTTTAGCAATTTTTTTTACAAGCGTCCCATAAGTGGGACGCTAGCAGAATATGGGTTAACCCAATTAAGTTCTTAACATTCCATTAACCCCTGTGTAATCCTAACCACTATCTAATCCTACCCCTCGAATTCTATCCATCTCTAATCCTACGTCCTCTCTAATCCTAACCCCCCTCTAATCCTGCCTTGTCTACCCCACCAGTGCCTTGACCTTGGAGGTGACCGACAGCATATCCAACATGGGTCACGTGGTCCCCCACGTCATCATCTGTCTGATGCTGGTCTGGCTCGCCGTCTTCGTCCTGTCTGCCCTCGGCCCGCGTCTCCTGGGTAAGGTAAGTGGTGGGCCGGTCCGCCATCTCACGCCGGCCCGGCAGTCCCGGAGTGCCGTACATGTGACATCTGATATGTCATTTAAGTGCGACCTCTGTCTGGTATGACATGTGAAAATGTGACATTCACTTTGTTTGAGTGCTGATTGCAGCTGGTAGTGTCACCATTGGTAGGTCACCATTGGTAGGGTCACCATTAGGAGGTCACCATTAGGAGGTCACCATTGGGAGGTCACCTATCCTGACCCCAGGCTGGTTGTCGTCTGCCCGGGTTAGAAATGATCCTCCCCCCTCCCCCAGCGGGTTGTTATACATGTGTTACTTCCCTTGAACGAAGTTTGTGATACAAATTATTACCTCCCCTAACAAAAGTTTCTGATACCAATTCTTACCTCCCCTAACAAAAGTTTCTGATACCAGTTATTACCTCCCCTAACAAAAGTTTCTGATACCAGTTATTACCTCCCCTAACAAAAGTTTCTGATGCCAGTTATTACCTCCCCTAACAAAAGTTTCTGATACCAGTTCTTACCTCCCCTAACAAAAGTTTCTGATACCAGTTCTTACCTCCCCTAACAAAAGTTTCTGATACCAGTTATTACCTCCCCTAACAAAAGTTTCTGATACCAGTCATTACCTCCCCTAACAAAAGTTTCTGATACCAGTCATTACCTCCCCTTACAGATAGCGCTGCTGTTGACTGCTGTACCGGCTGTGTTGATCCTAGTGGCACTGGTCGGTTCCTGCTCCATGTCTGGCGCCGTTCTGGGCATCCAAGCTTTCCTCAGTCCCAAGTGGTACCACCTGGCATCCTTCAAGGTAATCCGCTCACCACGGCAGGTGGGAGCCAGACTTTGATCCTACAGCCCCGTCTACTCTCTCATGCACTTCCTGCATTTGTTTGTTCTAGGACCCTCGTCTCAGTCGCGCATATTTATCTGGCCACTTTTGTCAAGTTTTCAATAACAACTTGTAACCCTAATCCCGATGATGTCATGTCACCCTACCCCGATGACGTCATGTCACCCTAACCCCGATGACGTCTTGTAACCTTGACTCTTTCAGCCTTGGCTTGACGCCTTCGACCTTGTCTTGTCCAGCCTGGCGTGTGGGACGGGGGTGCTGGTCACCTTGTCAGGACACTGCTGTTTCCATGGCAACACCTTCAGGTCAGTGGGTCAGGTCAGTGGGTCAGGGTGGCAGGGTCAGGGTGGTGGGGGTCAGGGTCAGGGTCTCGTGGGGTCAGGGTTACTGAGTTAGGATCAGGACTGGGTGTGTGTAGATCAAGATGTGTAGGTCAAGGCTAGTGTCACGATCCTGGGGTCATGTAGACACGGGTGTGTTGAGCACGTAACACATCTGTGTGACCACACATTCCCCCCCCCCCCCCCCTACCCTGAAAGAAAATGACCTTTGACACGTGTGATATATTTGTGCCGTGTCTAAAGCCCCGCCCGCCATAGAAACAAATCGATCCAATTACCGCCCATGTTTCATTTATAACGTGTGAGAGGCAATATTCTTCAGACAGGGGCCGTCACTCTCTCCACAGAAACGCAATGCTGATGACGGTAGCTTCCCTTGTCATGACCTTGGTGTCCGGCTGTCTGCTGCTGTCCTTGCTGGGGGCGGAGTCGAAGCTGTCCGACATCCGGCTCGATCACCTGCCCAAGTTCTGTAAGTGCTTACACTTGTCTTACATGGAGACCTGATCTGGTGAGCTCAGGTGGTGAGACGTTTATAATCTGGTGACATCAGGTGGTGAGACGTGTATAATCTGGTGACCATCCCTGGTGCCAGACTTCCGGCCTAGTCCCAGAATGCTTGAGAAAGATTTGACAAACAATTGTCTGACCTAGTCACATGACCTAATGTCTTCACAAGACCTAATGTATGACCGTCACATGACCTAATGCCTGACCTAGTCACATGACCTAATGTCTTCACAAGACCTAATGTATGACCGTCACATGACCTAATGTCTGTCCTCGCCACATGACCTAATGCCTGACCTAGCCACATGACCTAATGTCTTGCAGCTGATGTGGACCTGGGATTCGTGGTGTTCCCCTCTGTCACCTCCCACCTGCCCGCCCCCAGACTCTGGAGCATCCTCTTCTTCCTGGCCATGGCCCTGCTGGCCATCTTACAGGCGGCCACCCTGCTCCACCACCTGCAGCAGGGCGTGCTGGAGATGGCCAACCTGCAGGAGGTCAAGCTACAGTGGAAGTTGGCCATCCTGGGCGCCATCGCCATCCTGGCCATGTCCTTCAATGTCCTCACGACGGCCGAGGTGAGTCCTGACATGTCCTCACTGAAGTAAGCTCACATACAAGTTAACATACATCTAAGTTAACATACAAGTAAGTTAACATACAAGTCAGTTAACATACATCTAAGTTAACATACAAGTAAGTTAACATACATCTAAGTTAACATACAAGTCAGTTAACATACAAGTTAATATACAAGTCAGTTAACATACAAGTTAACATACAAGTCAGTTAACATACATCTAAGTTAACATACAAGTTAACATACAAGTCAGTTAACATACATCTAAGTTAACATACAAGAAAGTTGACACGCAAGTAAGTAAACATACAAGTAAGTTAACATACACCTAAGTTAACATACAGGTAAGTTAACATACAAGTAAGTTAACATACAAGTTAATATACAAGTCAGTTAACATACAAGTAAGTTAACATACAAGTTAACATACAAGTAAGTTAACATACAAGTTGACATACAAATAAGTTAACATGCAAGTAAGTTAACATACAAATAAGTTAAAATACAAGTAAGTTAACATTAATACTAATAGTTTCGCTGTCTGTCTATCTATCTATCTGACAAGAACGCTGTAGAGAAAACACAAGCAAATTAAAAACATGCATAGTAATTCGAAAAACGAAGTATGATGTCGTCACATTTAGCATAGAGTATAAAATAATCTCAAGCCGGAGAGTGCACACAGTAATATGACGTCATTGATTCTCGAGTAAACATTGAATAAAAAGGCAATTTCGTCTAATCTAAGTGGTTTGCGTGAAGAGTTTCTTTCATACAATTCTTCGGGTAGGGGCGAAGCCCCACCCCCGCGTAAGAACGTCTGAGCCCCCCCCCCCCCCCTCCCTAACTCAAAAGAAATTTCTTCATCGATACTCTATAATAAAATTACCGCCTAATTAATGTGTCTAATCTAAAAAGTGGTTTTCTTGCAATTTCTTTAATGCAATTCTTCGGGTAGTGGCTAAGCGCGACACCAGTGTTTCTTTCAGACTTTTTCCTCCCCGGAGAGGGGTGGGGGTACTTGAAATTTTCGGGGGCGGGGGTAAAATTTTCGGGGAGGGGGCGGACACTGGAAAAAGTATATAATTATATTTCGTTGAATGGGACGGTAGACATGTTTTTTTGGGGGGTGGGGGTGGGGGGGTGGGGGGGGGGTGAGGGTGGGGAGTGGGTGGGGGGGGGGGGGTGGTGTGTGTGGTGGGGGGGTGGGTTGGTTTTAGTTTAGAGAAAAGAGACAACACTATCAGCCTAGCGCCCGTTGTATCCTTCCTCAACGGGCCATTTTTCTCGTCTATAATAATAGTTTCGCTGTCTGTGTATCTATCTGACAAGAACGCTCTAGAGAAAACACAAGCAAATTAAAAACATGCATAGTAATTCGAAAAACGAATTATGACGTCGTCACATTTAGCATAGAGTAGAAAATAATCTCAAGCCGGAGAGTGCACACAGTAATATGACGTCATTGATTCTCGAGTAAACATTGAATAAAAAGGAAATTTTGTCTAATCTAAGTGGTTTGCGTGAAGAGTTTCTTTCATACAATTCTTTAGGTAGGGGCGAAGCCCCACCCCCCGCGTAAGAACGTCTGAGCCCACCCCCCCCCCCCTCCCCAACTCAAAAGAAATTACCTCATCGATACTCTATAATAAAATTACCGCCTAATTAATGTGTATAATCTAAAAAGTGGTTTTCTAAGCGCGACACCAGTGTTTCTTTCAGACTTTTTCCTCCCCGGAGAGGGGTGGGGGTACTTTGAATTTTCGGGGGCGGGAGTAGAATTTTCGGGGAGGGGGCGGACACTGGAAAAAGTATATAAGTATATTTCGTTGAATGGGACGGTAGACATGTTTTTTTTGGGGGGTGGGGGGTGGGGGGGGGGGGTGGTGGTGTGTGGTGGGGGGGGGGGGGGGGTTTAGTTTACAGAAAAGAGACAGCACTATCAGCCTAGCGCCCGTATCCTTCCTCAACGGGCCATTTTTCTCGCACAAGTAAGTTAACACACAAATACGTTAACATACAATGAAGTTAACATACAAGGAAGTTAAAATACAAGTAAGTTAAAATACAAGTAAGTTAAAATACAAGTAAGTTAACATACAAGTAAGTTAACATACAGCGCATACAAGTAAGACAACACTCCAGCTTTACACGTTAGTGTGATAGAATAGTCGGTTAAATTTGCTTACAACAGCATTTATAGCACACCTAGCTTTACACATTTACTGACATATCACACCAAGCTTTACACATTTACTGACATACCTAGCTTTACACATTTACTGAGACACCTAGCTTTACACATTTACTGAGACAATTAGCTTTACACAATTACTGACATATCACACCAAGCTTTACCAATTTACTGACATACCTAGCTTTACACATTTACTGAGACACCTAGCTTTACACATTTACTGAGACACCTAGCTTTACACATTTACTGAGACACCTAGCTTTACACATTTACTGAGACACCTAGCTTTACACATTTACTAAGACACCTAGCTTTACACAGAACGGGCTGTACGTGCTGCGACTCCTCCAGTTCTCTGTCCCCCGTCTGTCTACGCCCCTGATCTCTGTGGCCGAGTGCTTGACTGTGGGCTGGGGCTACGGGGCCCGCCGGTTCGCGGGCCGCATCACTGAGATGACGGGCCGCAACAAAAGTTTCATCTGGAAGTGGCTCTGGCGTTGGGGGTGTCCTGTGGTCTTGTCGGTAAGTCCTGTGTCCTGTGGTCCTGTCGGTAAGTCCTGTGTCCTGTGGTCCTGATGGTAAGTCCTGTGGACCTGTCGGTAAGTCCTGTGTCCTGTGGTCCTGTCGGTAAGTCCTGTGTCCATTGGTCCTGAAGGTTAGTCCTGTGTCCATTGGTCCTGAAAGTTAGTCCTGTGGTCCTATCGATAAGTCCTGTGTCCTGTGGTCCTGTCGGTAAGTCCTGTGTCCTGTGGTCCTGATGGTAAGTCCTGTGGTCCTATCGATAAGTCCTGTGTCCTGTGGTCCTGTCGGTAAGTCCTGTGTCCATTGGGCCTTAAGGTAAGTCCTGTGTCCATTGGTCCTGAAAGTTAGTCCTGTGGTCCTATCGATAAGTCCTGTGTCCTGTTGTCCTGTCGTTAAGTCCCGTGTCCATTGGGCCTTAAGGTAAGTCCTGTGTCCTAGACCGACCTGTGTATGTTGCAGGTGGTGTCCGTGGCCGCCATCTTGACGACCAACCTGTTGGAGGACCTGCCGGCCTGTGACCTTGACCAGAGCTGGATCTCCGCCCTCGCCTGGTCCCTCAGCGCCGCCATCCTTCTCCCCGCTCTCCTCATTACGGCCGTCTCTCTCGCCAGGACCCCGGGCACATTCAAGCAGGTAGGTGCTCATTCAGTCATCAGCATGAACCCAACCCTCAACCTGAACCCAATCCTCACATGCAACCTGAACCCAACCCCCAACCTGAACCCAACCCTCACATGCAACCTGAACCCAACCCTCAACATGACCCCTCAACCTGAACCCAACCCTCACATGCAACCTGAACCCAACCCTCAACATGAACCCTCAACCTGAACCCAACCCTCACATGCAACCTGAACCCAATCCTCACTTGCAACCTGAACCCAACCCTCAACCTGAACCCATCAACCTGAACCCAACCCTCACATGCAACCTGAACCCAATCCTCACTTGCAACCTGAACCCAACCCTCAACCTGAACCCATCAACCTGAACCCAACCCTCACATGCAACATGAACCCAACCCTCACATGCAACCTGAACCCAACCCTCATCCTAAACCCAACCATGAACCATAAACCAACCCTCACATGTAGCCTCAACCCAACCCTCAACCTGAACCCAACCCTCAACCTGAACCCAACCCTCAACCTGAACCCAACCCTCACATGTAGCCTGAACCCAACCCTCACATGCAACCTGAACCCAACCCTCACATGCAACCCGAACCCAACCCTCACACACAACCTCCAACTGACCTACCTGACCTACCTGTCCTAGCGTCTCCACCAGCTGCGGACCACGCCCACCTCCTGGGGCCCCGGGCATCCCGAGCACGAGCCTCAAGCGGACCTACCTGATTACGTCATATGTCAACCTGACCCGTTCCGTCCGGCCAACGCCCTAGCCATGTTGACGGCCAACCTCTACCTGCCCAACATCGTCAACTTTGTCAACATGCAGGTCAGTGACCTTTGACGTCAACTTTGTCAACATGCAGGTCAGTGACCTTTGCTGTCAACTTTGTCAACATGCAGGTCAGTGACCTTTGCTGTCAACTTTGTCAACATGCAGGTCAGTGACCTTTGACGTCAACTTTGTCAACATGCAGGTCAGTGACCTTTGACGTCAACTTTGTCAACATGCAGGTCAGTGACCTTTGACGTCAACTTTGTCAACATGCAGGTCATTGACCTTTTGTGTCAGCCAATCAGAAAGATGTTAAAATATAGCGCCATATTAAATCAAATGAACCGTTTGTAGCCAGTGACCTACTGACCTTATTGACCTCTGACCTTATGTTCCAGCCTCCAGGGACGGAGACCGAGGTCCTGCAGGACTCCGTGTCCGACATGGCTGACCTGAGCAGCTCAGACGACGAGAACTCCATCGACAGCCCCTCCCACAGGGACAGCTGCCTCGGGCGTTGCCACGCAACCATCCCATGCTTGAGTCACGTGATCGGCCTGGGGAACATCGTCAGGTTCCCGTACCTGGCATATCAGCACGGGGGAGGTGAGGTGGGGGGGTCACTGGGGGAGGTGAGGTGGGGGGTGTCACTGGGGGATGTGAGGTGGGGGGGTCACTGGGGGAGGTGAGGTGGGGGGGTCACTGGGGGAGGTGAGGTGGGGGGGGGTGTCACTGGGGGAGGTGAGGTGGGGAGGGGGTGTCACTGGGGGAGGTGAGGTGGGGGGGGGGGGTGTCACTGGGGGAGGTGAGGTGGGGGGGGTGTCACTGGGGGAGGTGAGGTGGGGGTGTCACTGGGGGAGGTGAGGTGGGGGGTGTCACTGGGGGAGGTGAGGTGGGGGGGTGTCACTGGGGGAGGTGAGGTGGGGGGGTGTCACTGGGGGAGGTGAGGTGGGGGGTGTCACTGGGGGAGGTGAGGTGGGGGGGTGTCACTGGGGGAGGTGAGTTGGGGGGTGTCACTGGGGGAGGTGAGGTGGGGGGTGTCACTGGGGGAGGTGAGGTGGGGGGTGTCACTGGGGGAGGTGAGGTGAGGTGGGGGTGTCACTAGGGGAGGTGAGGTGAGGCTAGGGCTTTCTGAGGGGTGTGTAACACCATGAATTTTTGTCTTTTTCTTTTTTAAAGAACATTTTGGTTTACAATAAATGGTCAAAGGGAAGTAACAATGAAAATCATTGATTTTTTTTTATCATTTCAGTAGATTCCCCTTAAACTTCTAGGAAATTAAAAAAACGTTTTGTTTTGAATCATTCATGTTTTATTTTCAATCACATGAATGGTGGGCGGAGTCAGTGTAGTGTGTCATCTATTGCAGGCGCTTTCATCATCGCCTACGTCATCATCCTGGCCTCACTGGGCGTGCCGCTTGTCATCATTGAGATAGCCATTGGTCAGTTCTCTAGTCTGGGCCCCGTACACGTGTGGCGTGCAGTACCCATCTTTAAAGGTGAGGGGTTTAACATTTAGAGGTGAGGGGTTTAACATTTAGAGGTGAGGGGTTTAACATTTAGAGGTGAGGGGTTTAACATTTAGAGGTGAGGGGTTTAACATTTAGAGGTGAGAGGGTTTAACATTTAGAGGTAAAGGGTTTAACATTTAGAGGTAAAGGGTTTAACATTTAGAGGTGAGGGGTTTAACATTTAGAGGTGAGGGGTTTAACATTTAGAGGTGAGAGGGTTTAACATTTAGAGGTAAAGGGTTTAACATTTAGAGGTGAGGGGTTTAACATTTAGAGGTGAGAGGGTTTAACATTTAGAGGTGAGAGGGTTTAACATTTAGAGGTGAGAGGGTTTAACATTTAGAGGTAAAGGGTTTAACATTTAGAGGTGAGGGGTTTAACATTTAGAGGTGAGAGGGTTTAACATTTAGAGGTAAAGGGTTTAACATTTAGAGGTAAAGGGTTTAACATTTAGAGGTGAGGGGTTTAACATTTAGAGGTGAGGGGTTTAACATTTAGAGGTGAGAGGGTTTAACATTTAGAGGTAAAGGGTTTAACATTTAGAGGTGAGGGGTTTAACATTTAGAGGTGAGAGGGTTTAACATTTAGAGGTGAGAGGGTTTAACATTTAGAGGTGAGAGGGTTTAACATTTAGAGGTAAAGGGTTTAACATTTAGAGGTGAGGGGTTTAACATTTAGAGGTAAAGGGTTTAACATTTAGAGGTGAGAGGGTTTAACATTTAGAGGTAAAGGGTTTAACATTTAGAGGTGAGGGGTTTAACATTTAGAGGTGAGAGGGTTTAACATTTAGAGGTGAGAGGGTTTAACATTTAGAGGTGAGAGGGTTTAACATTTAGAGGTAAAGGGTTTAACATTTAGAGGTGAGGGGTTTAACATTTAGAGGTAAAGGGTTTAACATTTAGAGGTGAGAGGGTTTATTCTGTTAATAATTTTTACAGGGTTAGGATTAGGATTAGGGTTAGGATCAGGGTTAGGATTAGGATTAGGGTTCTTTAATGAGGTACTTAGCCAGACCCTTACCTGTGCTGTCGGGGTCAATCAGTGGTTGTCACGTGGGGCAAAGGTCACGTGGGTCAGAGGCCAGTACACTGTAATATCATATGACGTCATGTTGGCTATGATAAATGACGTCATGTTCCCCAGGTGTTGGCTACTCAATGGTTGCCGTGTCTCTGGCCACTACCGTCTACTACAGCGTTGTGACGTCATGGTCCGTGTTTTACCTGGCTACCTCTCTGACGTCAGTGATGCCATGGAAGGGCTGTGAAAATACCTGGAACACAAACTGTGAGTGACATTGACAGACTGACACTGGCAGAGTGACACTGGCAGACTGACACTGGCAGACTGACACTGGCAAAGTGACACTGGCAGACTGACACTGGCAGAGTAACACTGGCAGAATGACACTGATAGACTGACAGACAATCAGAGATTGTGACACTAATTGGCTAGAGTTTTTAAACCGGAATGTAGCAAGCAAGTCCTCACAATTTGATTTCTTCTTCAAATCTTTTGCATATGCTGTCCACGCCTGCTGTCCACGCCTGCTGTCCACGCCTGCTGTCCACGCCTGCTGTCCACGCCTGCTGTCCACGCCTGCTGTCGTCGCCTGCTGTCACGAGACAGCCTGCACTCCCCATCCGTCATGTCAGTCTAGCGAGTCTACCATGACAGATGACAGAACCAACCGGCGGTGTGACGTCACACACCCTGAATGTCTCAGGGTCAACGACTCGCTGTGTCAGGACGCGACCTTGAACTTCACCAACATAAGCTCCCGCTCCACAGAAGAGTATTTTTAGTAAGTGTCTCGTCCATTTCCGGTCAATATCTTGTCAATGTCTGGTCAATGTCTAGTCCATTTCCGGTCAATATCTTGTCAATGTCTGGTCAATGTCAAAAGTTTAGACTCCCCAGTCTGTCTAAATGTCATGATTTCCCCCCCCCCCCCGTCTGTCTCATGATTTCCCCCCGTCTGTCTAAATGTCATGATTCCCCCAGCCTGTCTAAATGTCATGATTCCCCCAGTCTGTCTAAATGTCATGATTCCCCCGTCTGTCTAAATGTCATGATCCCCCAGTGTATCTAAATGTCATTATTCCCTCCGTCTGTCTAAATGTCATGATTCCCCCAGCCTGTCTAAATGTCATGATTCCCCCAGTCTGTCTAAATGTCATGATTCCCCCCGTCTGTCTAAATGTCATGATTCCCCCGTCTGTCTAAATGTCATGATTCCCCCCGTCTGTCTAAATGTCATGATTCCCCCGTCTGTCTAAATGTCATGATTCCCACCGTCTGTCTAAATGTCATGATTTCCCTGTCTGTCTAAATGTCATGATTCCCCCAGCCTGTCTAAATGTCATGATTCCCCCAGTCTGTCTAAATGTCATGATTCCCCCAGTCTGTCTAAATGTCATGATTCCCCCGTCTGTCTAAATGTCATGATTCCCCCGTCGGTCTAAATTTCATGATTCCCCCCGTCTGTCTAAATGTCATGATTCCCCCGTCTGTCTAAATGTCATGATTCCCCCGTCTGTCTAAATGTCATGATCCCCCAGTGTATCTAAATGTCATTATTCCCTCAGTCTGTCTAAATGTCATGATTCCCCCGTCTGTCTAAATGTCATGATTCCCCCGTCTGTCTAAATGTCATGATCCCCCAGTGTATCTAAATGTCATTATTCCCTCCGTCTGTCTAAATGTCATGATTCCCCCAGCCTGTCTAAATGTCATGATTCCCCCAGTCTGTCTAAATGTCATGATTCCCCTAGCCTGTCTAAATGTCATGATTCCCCCCGTCTGTCTAAATGTCATGATTCCCCCGTCTGTCTAAATGTCATGATTCCCCCGTCTGTCTAAATGTCATGATTTCCCTGTCTGTCTAAAGGTCATGATTCCCCCAGCCTGTCAAAATGTCATTAATCCCCCCCCCCCCGTCTGTCTAAATGTCATGATTCCCCCGTCTGTCTAAATGTCATGATTCCCCCGTCTGTCTAAATGTCATGATTCCCCCGTCTGTCTAAATGTCATGATTCCCCCGTCTGTCTAAATGTCATGATTCCGCCGTCTGTCTAAATGTCATGATTCCCCAGTGTATCTAAATGTCATGATTCCCCCCCCCCCCCCCTGTCTAAATGTCACGATTCCCCCCGTCTGTCTAAATGTCATGATTTCCCCCGCCTGTCTAAATGTCACGATTCCCCCCGTCTGTCTAAATGTCATGATTCCCCCAGCCTGTCTAAATGTCATGATTTCCCCCCCCCGTCTGTCTAAATGTCATGATTCCCCCGTTTGTCTAAATGTCATGATTCCCCCCGTCTGTCTAAATGTCATGATTCCCCCAGCCTGTCTAAATGTCACGATTCCCCCCGTCTGTCTAAATGTCATGATTCCCCCCGCCTGTCTAAATGTCATGATTTCCCCCCCCCCGTCTGTCTAAATGTCATGATTCCCCCGTCTGTCTAAATGTCATGATTCCCCCCGATTGTCTAAATGTCATGATTCCCCCGTCTGTCTAAATGTCATGATTCCCCCCCCCCCCGTCTGTCTAAATGTCATGATTCCCCGTCTGTCTAAATGTCATGATTCCCCCCGTCTGTCTAAATGTCATGATTCCCCCAGCCTGTCTAAATGTCACGATTCCCCCCGTCTGTCTAAATGTCATGATTCCCCCCGCCTGTCTAAATGTCATGATTCCCCCCCCCCCCCCCCGTCTGTCTAAATGTCATGATTCCCCCGTCTGTCTAAATGTCATGATTCCCCCCGATTGTCTAAATGTCATGATTCCCCCGTCTGTCTAAATGTCATGATTCCCCCCCCCCCCCCGTCTGTCTAAATGTCATGATTCCCCGTCTGTCTAAATGTCATGATTCCCCCCGTCTGTCTAAATGTCATGATTCCCCCGTCTGTCTAAATGTCATGATTCCCCCGTCTGTCTAAATGTCATGATTTCCCTGTCTGTCTAAATGTCATGATTCCCCCAGCCTGTCTAAATGTCATGATTCCCCCCGTCTGTCTAAATGTCATGATTCCCCCGTTTGTCTAAATGTCATGATTCCCCCGTTTGTCTAAATGTCATGATTCCCCCCGCCTGTCTAAATGTCATGATTCCCCCGTCTGTCTAAATGACATGATTCCCCCCGTCTGTCTAAATGTCATGATTCCCCCGTCTGTCTAAATGTCATGATTCCCCCAGTCTGTCTAAATGTCATGATTCCCCCGTCTGTCTAAATGTCATGATTCCCCCAGTCTGTCTAAATGTCATGATTCCCCCAGTCTGTCTAAATGTCATGATTCCCCCAGTCTGTCTAAATGTCATGATTCCCCCGTCTGTCTAAATGTCATGATTCCCCCAGTCTGTCTAAATGTCATGATTCCCCCAGTCTGTCTAAATGTCATGATTCCCCCGTCTGTCTAAATGTCATGATTCCCCCAGCCTGTCAGTTGTGAAAGTCTCAGACGGCTGGCATCAGGCGGGAGAACTCAGGTGGCAGCTCTGTCTGTGTCTGCTGGTCACGTGGTGTGTCATTCTCCTGTGTCTCATCAAGGGCTTCCGGCCAGGTGGCAAGGTCAGTACATGGGGGCTTCAAGGTCAGTACAGGGGGCTTCAAGGTCAATACATGGGGGGCCTCAAGGTCAATACATGGGGGCTTCAAGGCCAGAACAGGGGGCTTCAAGGTCAGTACATGGGGGCTTCAAGGTCAGTACATGGGGGCTTCAAGGCCAGAACAGGGGGCTTCAAGGTCAGTACAGGGGGCTTCAAGGTCAGTACATGAGGGCTTCAAGGCCAGTACAGGGGGCTTCAAGGTCAGTAAAGGGGGCTTCAAGGTCAGTACATGGAGGCTTCAATGTCAGTACATGGGGGCTTCAAGGTCAGTACAGGGGGCTTCAAGGTCAGTACATGGAGGCGTCAATGTCAGTACATGGGGGGCTTCAAGGTCAGTACATGGGGGCTTCAAGGTCAGTACAGAGGCTTCAAGGTCAGTACATGGGGGCTTTAATGTCAGTACATGGGGGCTTCAAGGTCAGTACACGGGGCTTCAAGGTCAGTACAAGTGGGCTTCAAGGTCAGTACATGGGGGCTTCAAGGTCAGTACATGGGGGCTTCAAGGTTAGTGCATGGGGGCGTCAAGGTCAGTATATGGAGGGGGGCTTCAAGGTCAGTACATGGGGCTTCAATGTCAGTATATGGAGGGGGGGGCTTCAAGGTCAGTACATGGGGGCTTCAATGTCAATGCATGGGGGGCCTCAAGGGGGAGGGGCTTAAAGGTCAGAAAATGGGGGGGGGGGCGTAAAGGCTAGCACAAGGGGGCTTCAATGATGCAAGAATCGTCAGGTGGAGAATTGGAGTGGGGTGGGTGGGGGTAGTTAAAGTGGATTAGCTGCAGATTGTAACTATATTTTTTTCAGACGACCTACTGCTTCATGACCTTGACCTGTCTGACCTTGCTGATTCTCCTGGTGCGCTGCAGCTCTTTGATGGGCGGACACGACGGACTCAGGTCAGTCTGGGACTTTCTGGGACCTTTTGGTTAGTTCAGTCTGGGACTTTCTGGGACCATTATGTTAGTTCAGTCTGGGACTTTCTGGGACCATTATGTTAGTTCAGTCTGGGACTTTCTGGGACCTTTTTGTTAGTTCAGTCTGGGACTTTCTGGGACCATTATGTTAGTTCAGTCTGGGACTTTCTGGGACCTTTTGGTTAGTTCAGTCTGGGACTTTCTGGGACCTTTTTTTTAGTTCAGTCTGGGACTTTCTGGGACCTTTTGGTTAGTTCAGTCTGGGACTTTCTGGGACCTTTTGGTTAGTTCAGTCTGGGACCTGTTGATGAAATCTATTTTTAGCTACCTGTTCACGCTCCAGTGGTCCAAGCTGATGGAGGGTCAGGTCTGGCAAGACGCCGCCTCCCAGGTTTTTCTCTCCATGTCGCTGGGCTGCGGGAGTCTGGTTGCCATGGGAACCTACAACAAGTTCAGCAATAACGTCATTAGGTCAGTAGCATCAGAGTGGCATCTGAATGCCACAGAGGGCACCAGGGTGACACAGAGGGCACCATGGTGACAAGTTGACACCAAAAGACTTTGTGGATACTAGCATGACAAGGTGACATGACGCACAAGTCTGACATGGTGACATCTATCAATACAAGATTTCTGTTTGACTGGACCTTCATTAAACGAACCAATCATCTTGCAGGGAGGCGGCGCTACTTGGTGTGATTGACACGGCGATCAGCCTCTTGTGTAGCCTGGTGGTCTTTGCTGTTGTGGGCACCATCTCACACTCTACGGGCAGCGGGCTAGACACGGCGGCCAAACCAGGTGGGTCATTGTGGGCTGGGTAAGGTGGGCCATTGTGGGCTGGACAAGGTGGGTCATTGTGGGCTGGATAAGGTGGGTCGTTGTGGGCTGGACAAGGTGGGTAAGGTGGGTCATTGTGGGCTGGGTAAGGTGGGTCATTGTGGGCGGGGTCAGGTGGGTCATTGTGGGCTGGATAAGGTGGGTAAGGTGGGTCATTGTGGGCTGGGTAAGGTGGGCCATTGTGGGCTGGATAAGGTGGGTCGTTGTGGGCTGGGTCAGGTGGGTCATTGTGGGCTGGACAAGGTGGGTCATTGTGGGCTGGGTAAGGTGGGTCATTGTGGGCTGGACAAGGTGGGTCATTGTGGGCTGGGTAAGGTGGGTCGTTGTGGGCTGGGTAAGGGGGGTCATTGTGGGCTGGGTAAGAAGGGTCGTTGTGGGCTGGGTAAGGTGGGTCATTGTGGGCTGGACAAGGTGGGTCATTGTGGGCTGGGTAAGGTGGGTCATTGTGGGCTGGGTAAGGTGGGTCATTGTGGGCTGGACACGGCGGCCAAACCAGGTGTGTCGTTGTGGGCTGGGTAAGGTGGGCCATTGTGGGCTGGACAAGGTGGGCCATTGTGGGCTGGGTCAGGTGGGTCATTGTGGGCTAGGCCCGATTTTTTCTGGCCACACAAGACAATAAAAACCTTTGACCTTGAACTTGTAGATATTGGCCTGACCTTTGTGACGCTGTCCAGGGCCACCCTGGTGCTCCCCTGGCCACTGGTCTGGGCCATCCTGAGCTTCCTGGTGCTGGTCTCTGCTGGCGTCATCACGTGCGTGTCTGCCATGTCCACGGCTGTGACGTCACTTATGGACATGCTGACCGGACCAATGAAGAAGCACCGGAAATGGCTGATCGTCTGCGTCTGCGCACTAGAGTTGGTCCTGGCCCTCCCCATGACGTTACAGGTAACACGTGACCTGAGTTTCTCTCAGGCATTTCTTTGCCCCCTCCCCCCTTCCTCGAACGAAAAAAGAATGTATATAACGAAGATATACTCCCCCCACCCCCCAAGAAACACTGCATACGACAGCACGTGGATGCTTTAGTTAAGACGTGACTGTAATGTACGAATGACGTCATACCGTCATCTCCCACGTGACCTCCACAGATCGGGTTCCACGTGATCGACTTCCTGGACACCCACCTGTCTGGCCTGCCCCAGCTGTGTGTGGGGGCGGCAACTCTCGCAGCCTTCGCGTGGGTCTACGGGATTGGTCGTCTGTGTGCTGACGTCAGCAGGATGGTGGACGCGCCCATTGGCTGGTGGTGGAGGCTAATTTGGGCGGTCGTCTGCCCTAGTATCCTCTCTGTAAGTCTGTCGGTCGTCTGCCCTAGTATCCTCTCTGTAAGTCTGTCGGTCGTCTGCCCTAGTATCCTCTCTGTAAGTCTGGCCGTCGTCTGCCCTAGTATCCTCTCTGTAAGTCTGTCGGTCGTCTGCCCTAGTATCCTCTCTGTAAGTCTGTCGGTCGTCTGCCCTAGTATCCTCTCTGTAAGTCTGTCGGTCGTCTGCCCTAGTATCCTCTCTGTAAGTCTGTCGGTCGTCTGCCCTAGTATCCTCTCTGTAAGTCTGGCCGTCGTCTGCCCTAGTATCCTCTCTGTAAGTCTGTCGGTCGTCTGCCCTAGTATCCTCTCTGTAAGTCTGTCGGTCGTCTGCCCTAGTATCCTCTCTGTAAGTCTGTCCGTCGTCTGCCCTAGTATCCTCTCTGTAAGTCTGTCGGTCGTCTGCCCTAGTATCCTCTCTGTAAGTCTGTCGGTCGTCTGCCCTAGTATCCTCTCTGTAAGTCTGTCGGTCGTCTGCCCTAGTATCCTCTCTGTAAGTCTGTCGGTCGTCTGCCCTAGTATCCTCTCTGTAAGTCTGTCGGTCGTCTGCCCTAGTATCCTCTCTGTAAGTCTGTCGGTCGTCTGCCCTAGTATCCTCTCTGTAAGTCTCTCATCTAAATGCCAGCGTGTGTCATCTATATGTCATTTACATTATCATCTATATGCCAATATATGTCATGTGCATGCCATCTAAACGGCGTCTGCTAGCTTACACCTGTTTACCCCGCACTTTATCTGACAGCGCTGACCTGTTTACTGTCTGTCTGACAGATGTTGCTGGTCAGTTCTCTGATATCTGTCATCAGCGCTGACGAACATGCTGGACACCCCTGGTGGCTCAAGATACTTGGACTCGTCCTGTGGTTCATGCTGCTGGTGCCTGTCTTTGTTGGCGTCGGTCACGAGACCAGTCGTCACACCACGTCTGCTTCACTGCTGGAGGTGCGGGGAGGGGTGGAGGGGGTGGGTCTTTGGAGGGGTGGAGGGGTGGGTCTTTTGAGGGTTGGATGGGGTGGGTCTTTGGAGGGGTGGGTCTGGAGGGGTGGAGGGGGTGGGTCTTTGGAGGGGTGGAGGGGGTGGGTCTTTGTAGGGGTGGAGGGTGTGGGTCTTTGGAGGGGTGGAGGGTGTGGGTCTTTGGAGGGGTGGAGGGTGTGGGTCTTTGGAGAGGTGGAGGGGGTGGGTGTGGAGGGGTGGGTCTTAGGCCGTGGGGGTGGGTCTTAGGGCATGGGTGTAGAGGGGTGGGTCTTAGGGCATGGGTGTGGAGGGGTGGGTCTTAGGGCATGGGTGTGGAGGGGTGGGTCTTAGGGCATGGGTGTGGAGGGGTGGGTCTTAGGGTGTGGGTGTGGAGGGGTGGGTCTTAGGGTGTGGAGGGGTGGGTCTTAGGGTGTGGGTGTGGAGGGGTGGGTCTTAGGGTGTGGAGGGGTGGGTCTTGGGGCATGGGTGTGGACGTGATTGATGACATTAATGACATGTGGACGTGTTTTCTGATGGCTTGGATGACATTTCCAGAAGCTGAGAAGATCGTGCCAACCGAGGAAGGAGTGGGGCGCCACCCTCCACCGATGTAGCAGCGTGGTGGAGTACTACCCCACAGTCCACACCCACCTCGGCCTTGACCTCAGTCGGGACGGTCTCAACACTGTGGCGGGTCAGTTGCTTTAGGTCTAGTTCAAGTTAGGGTCAAGGTTAGATTCTGTTCTAGTTCAAGTCAAGGTCAGCGTCAAGGTTAGGCTCTGGTCTAGTTCAAGTTAGGGTCAAGGTTAGATTCTGGTCTAGTTCAAGTCAAGGTCAGGGTCAAAGTTAGGTCTAGTTCAAGTTTGGGGCAGGGTCAAGGTTAGGTTCTGTTCTAGTTCAAGTTAGGGTCAAGGTTGTGGTCTAGTTGAAGTTAGGGTCAAGGTTGTGGTCTAGTTGAAGTTAGGGTCAAGGTTGTGGTCTAGTTGAAGTTAGGGTCAAGGTTGTGGTCTAGTTGAAGTTAGGGTCAAGGTTGTGGTCTAGTTGATATTTTGGCGCCCGATGTATCCCCAGATCACGTGGACTTCACGTCTGTCAGCGTCCCCAGCCTGTCGCAGACGACTCTACTTCCGGTCTCCCCCGGCACGCCCCGCTGCAAGCGACCAATGGACATGCGCCATAAAGCCATCCTAAACCACGCCTACAGCAACCCGCAGTGCCACCTGTCGTCCGGTGAGTTGGGAGAAACAATTGGAGGGGGGAAAAGTCACAGGAAAAAAGTCACAAATGTGTATTTATTTACATTGAATTCGTAAAAGTTTATTTATTAATTTTTCAGAAAGTGCAACTCAACTTACAATTAGTGAAATGCAATGTAAACACTTTAGATATATTTGCGTAGGTTGTATACGTAATATTTATAACACACGTCAAAATATTCAGTTTAAAGTATTTAGGTTTTTATTCAGTTCTACAAATAATGTTTAATACAATTAAATAAAATGTTCCAACCGTCTGTTTATAATCGTGTTTTTAAAAAATAATAACTTTAAATTAGCTTGAATTGGCAGAAAGACGTAGTTAATCTGATTTGCTGCCCTCAACTCATTACAACAACAGGTCAATCACCTGTACTGCCCACATTTATTACGTAACAAAGCATAGGTTCAAAACAGAAATCCGACAGGGTAAAAAGACAATCATGAGCCCACCCTTTTTATTAATTGTGTATGTATGAATGGTAGGTTTTAGCAGGACCACCAGCATCTACCAGCCCACACTTAACCGACTACTTCCGCTACTAGCCCACTGACATACTTTGACCTTAGAGCCCACTGCCCTTCTGACATACTTTCGACATAATAACTAGATCAGTTGACCTACTGACCTATTTGCACATGAACCACTAACCCACATTAAAATGTTAACTGCCCGACTGACCTACTGACCTACTTTCACCAAGCTCCCTGAACCACTAACCCACATTAAAATGTTAACTGCCCGACTGACCTACTGACCTACTTCCACCAGGCTCCCTGGAGCGGCTGGGCAAGAAAAAACGTCACTCCATGGTGCTGGCCAACGAGGAGCTCCATGACGTCATCCTGGCCAGGAAGTCCAAACACAAAGTAAGCAGACGTGACGCTTGGACCCAGACTGACCAAGGCTGGCCGGAGAACAGGCTGTGCAGACAGCGATCTGTAAGTCTGTGGCCTTGACCTCTGGCTATCTTCTGCTGGCTAGTCTCTTTAGTTGGCTGTGTCAGGCGACTCAGAATTTTCGCTGGAGTTTGTAGGGCTAACTTTTGTTTGTTTGTAGGGCTAACTTTTATTTTCATTATTCGTTGGGCTAACTTTTGTTTTCATTGTTTGTAGGGCTTACTTTTGTTTTCATTGTTTGTAGGGCTAACTTTTGTTTTCATTGTTTGTAGGGCTAACTTTTGTTTTCATTGTTTGTAGGGCTAACTTTTGTTTTCATTGTTTGTAGGGCTAACTTTTGTTTTCATTGTTTGTAGGGCTAACTTTTGTTTTCATTGTTTGTAGGGCTAACTTTTGTTTTCATTGTTTGTAGGGCTAACTTTTGTTTTCATTGTTTGTAGGGCTAACTTTTGTTTTCATTGTTTGTAGGGCTAACTTTTGTTTTCATTGTTTATAGGGCTAACTTTTGTTTTCATTGTTTGTAGGGCTAACTTTTGTTTTCATTGTTTGTAGGGCTAACTTTTGTTTTCATTGTTTGTAGGGCTAACTTTTGTTTTCATTGTTTGTAGGGCTAACTTTTGTTTTCATTGTTTGTAGGGCTAACTTTTGTTTTCATTGTTTGTATGGCTAACTTTTGTTTATTTGTAGGGCTAACTTTTATTGTCATTGTTTGTAGGGCTAACTTTTGTTGTCATTGTTTGTAGGGCTAACTTTTGTTTGTTTGTAGGGCTAACTTTTGTTTTCATTGTTTGTAGGGCTAACTTTTATTGTCATTGTTTGTAGGGCTAACTTTTATTGTCATTGTTTGTAGGGCTAACTTTTGTTTTCATTGTTTGTAGGGCTAACTTTTGTTTGTTTGTAGGGCTAACTTTTGTTTTCATTGTTTGTAGGGCTAACTTATGTTTTCATTGTTTGTAGGGCTAACTTTTGTTTGTTTGTAGGGCTAACTTTTGTTTGTTTGTAGGGCTAACTTTTATTGTCATTGTTTGTAGGGCTAACTTTTGTTTTCATTGTTTGTAGGGCTAACTTTTGTTTGTTTGTAGGGCTAACTTTTGTTGTCATTGTTTGTAGGGCTAACTTTTGTTTGTTTGTAGGGCTAACTTTTGTTTTCATTGTTTGTAGGGCTAACTTTTGTTTGTTTGTAAGGCTAACTTTTGTTTGTTTGTAAGGCTAACTTTTGTTTGTTTGTAGGGCTAACTTTTGTTTGTTTGTAAGGCTAACTATTGTTTTCATTGTTTGTAGGGTTAACTTTTGTTTGTTTGTTGGGCTAAATTTTGTTTTCATTGTTTGAAGGTTAACTTTTGTTTTCATTGTTTGTAGGGTTAACTTTTGTTTTCATTGTTTGTAGGCTAACTTTTGTTTTCATTGTTTGAAGGCTAACTTTTGTTTTCATTGTTTGAAGGTTAACTTTTGTTTTCATTGTCATTAGGGCTAACTTTTGTTTGTTTGTAGGGCTAACTTTTGTTTTCATTGTTTGTAGGGCTAACTTTTGTTTTCATTGTTTGTAGGGCTAACTTTTGTTTGTTTGTAGGGTTAACTTTTGTTTTCATTGTTTGTAGGGCTAACTTTTGTTTTCATTGTTTGTATGGCTAACTTTTGTTTGTTTGTAAGGATAACTTTTGTTTGTTTGTAGGGCTAACTTTTGTTTTCATTGTTTGTAGGGCTAACTTTTGTTTGTTTGTAGGGCTAACTTTTGTTTTCATTGTTTGTAGGGCTAACTTATGTTTTCATTGTTTGTAGGGCTAACTTTTGTTTGTTTGTAAGGCTAACTTTTGTTTGTTTGTAGGGCTAACTTTTGATTTCATTGTTTGTAGGGCTAACTTTTATTGTCATTGTTTGTAGGGCTAACTTTTGTTTTCATTGTTTGTAGGGCTAACTTTTGTTTGTTTGTAGGGCTAACTTTTGTTGTCATTGTTTGTAGGGCTAACTTTTGTTTGTTTGTAGGGCTAACTTTTGTTTTCATTGTTTGTAGGGCTAACTTTTGTTTGTTTGTAAGGCTAACTTTTGTTTGTTTGTAGGGCTAACTTTTGTTTGTTTGTAAGGCTAACTTTTGTTTGTTTGTAGGGCTAACTTTTGTTTGTTTGTAGGGCTAACTTTTGTTTGTTTGTAGGGCTAACTTTTGTTTGTTTGTAGGGCTAACTTTTGATTTCATTGTTTGTAGGGCTAACTTTTATTGTCATTGTTTGTAGGGCTAACTTTTGTTTTCATTGTTTGTAGGGCTAACTTTTGTTTTCATTGTTTGTAAGGCTAACTTTTGTTTGTTTGTAAGGCTAACTTTTGTTTGTTTGTAGGGCTAACTTTTGTTTGTTTGTAGGGCTAACTTTTGTTTGTTTGTAGGGCTAACTTTTGATTTCATTGTTTGTAGGGCTAACTTTTATTGTCATTGTTTGTAGGGCTAACTTTTGTTTTCATTGTTTGTAGGGCTAACTTTTGTTTGTTTGTAGGGCTAACTTTTGTTGTCATTGTTTGTAGGGCTAACTTTTGTTTGTTTGTAGGGCTAACTTTTGTTTTCATTGTTTGTAGGGCTAACTTTTGTTTGTTTGTAAGGCTAACTTTTGTTTGTTTGTAAGGCTAACTTTTGTTTTCATTGTTTGTAGGGCTAACTTTTGTTTGTTTGTAGGGCTAACTTTTGTTTGTTTGTAGGGCTAACTTTTGTTTGTTTGTAGGGCTAACTTTTGTTTGTTTGTAGGGCTAACTTTTGTTTGTTTGTAGGGCTAACTTTTGTTTTCATTGTTTGTAGGGTTAACTTTTGTTTGTTTGTTGGGCTAAATTTTGTTTTCATTGTTTGAAGGTTAACTTTTGTTTTCATTGTTTGTAGGGTTAACTTTTGTTTTCATTGTTTGTAGGCTAACTTTTGTTTTCATTGTTTGAAGGCTAACTTTTGTTTTCATTGTTTGAAGGTTAACTTTTGTTTTCATTGTCATTAGGGCTAACTTTTGTTTGTTTGTAGGGCTAACTTTTGTTTTCATTGTTTGTAGGGTTAACTTTTGTTTTCATTGTTTGTAGGGCTAACTTTTGTTTTCATTGTTTGTATGGCTAACTTTTGTTTGTTTGTAAGGCTAACTTTTGTTTGTTTGTAGGGCTAACTTTTATTGTCATTGTTTGTAGGGCTAACTTTTGTTTTCATTGTTTGTAGGGCTAACTTTTGTTTGTTTGTAGGGCTAACTTTTGTTTTCATTGTTTGTAGGGCTAACTTTTGTTTGTTTGTAGGGCTAACTTTTGTTTTCATTGTTTGTAGGGCTAACTTTTGTTTGTTTGTAGGGCTAACTTTTATTGTCATTGTTTGTAGGGCTAACTTTTGTTTTCATTGTTTGTAGGGTTAACTTTTGTTTTCATTGTTTGTAGGGTTAACTTTTGTTTGTTTGTAGGGCTAACTTTTGTTTGTTTGTAGGGCTAACTTTTGTTTGTTTGTAGGGCTAACTTTTGTTTTCATTGTTTGTAGGGTTAACTTTTGTTTGTTTGTAGGGCTAACTTTTGTTTTCATTGTTTGTAGGGCTAACTTTTGTTTGTTTGTAGGGCTAACTTTTGTTTGTTTGTAGGGCTAACTTTTGTTTTTTTGTAGGGCTAACTTTTGTTTGTTTGTTGGGCTAAATTTTGTTTTCATTGTTTGAAGGTTAACTTTTGTTTTCATTGTTTGTAGGGCTAACTTTTGATTTCATTGTTTGAAGGCTAACTTTTGTTTTCATTGTTTTAAGGCTAACTTTTGTTTTCATTGTTTGAAGGTTAACTTTTGTTTTCATTGTCTGTAGGGCTAACTTTTGTTTTCATTGTTTGTAGGGCTAACTTTTGTTTTCATTGTTTGTAGGGCTAACTTTTGTTTTCATTGTTTGTAGGGCTAACTTTTGTTTTCATTGTTTGTAGGGCTAACTTTTGTTTTCATTGTTTGTAGGGCTAACTTTTGTTTTCATTGTTTGTAGGGCTAACTTTTGTTTTCATTGTTTGTAGGGCTAACTTTTGTTTTCATTGTTTGTATGGCTAACTTTTGTTTATTTGTAGGGCTAACTTTTATTGTCATTGTTTGTAGGGCTAACTTTTGTTGTCATTGTTTGTAGGGCTAACTTTTGTTTGTTTGTAGGGCTAACTTTTGTTTTCATTGTTTGTAGGGCTAACTTTTATTGTCATTGTTTGTAGGGCTAACTTTTATTGTTATTGTTTGTAGGGCTAACTTTTGTTTTCATTGTTTGTAGGGCTAACTTTTGTTTGTTTGTAGGGCTAACTTTTGTTTTCATTGTTTGTAGGGCTAACTTATGTTTTCATTGTTTGTAGGGCTAACTTTTGTTTGTTTGTAGGGCTAACTTTTGTTTGTTTGTAGGGCTAACTTTTGTTTGTTTGTAGGGCTAACTTTTATTGTCATTGTTTGTAGGGCTAACTTTTGTTTTCATTGTTTGTAGGGCTAACTTTTGTTTGTTTGTAGGGCTAACTTTTATTGTCATTGTTTGTAGGGCTAACTTTTGTTTTCATTGTTTGTAGGGCTAACTTTTGTTTGTTTGTAGGGCTAACTTTTGTTGTCATTGTTTGTAGGGCTAACTTTTGTTTGTTTGTAGGGCTAACTTTTATTGTCATTGTTTGTTGGGCTAACTTTTGTTTTCATTGTTTGTAGGGCTAACTTTTGTTTGTTTGTAAGGCTAACTTTTGTTTGTTTGTAAGGCTAACTTTTGTTTGTTTGTAGGGCTAACTTTTGTTTGTTTGTAAGGCTAACTTTTGTTTGTTTGTAGGGCTAACTTTTGTTTTCATTGTTTGTAGGGCTAACTTTTGTTTGTTTGTAGGGCTAACTTTTGTTTGTTTGTAGGGCTAACTTTTGTTTGTTTGTAGGGCTAACTTTTGTTTGTTTGTAGGGCTAACTTTTGTTTTCATTGTTTGTAGGGTTAACTTTTGTTTGTTTGTTGGGCTAAATTTTGTTTTCATTGTTTGAAGGTTAACTTTTGTTTTCATTGTTTGTAGGGTTAACTTTTGTTTTCATTGTTTGTAGGCTAACTTTTGTTTTCATTGTTTGAAGGCTAACT